TCGGTACCGCTCCAATGTGAATCGTACATTCTAGGTAAACAAATTTGGTGCAGATGTTTAATAAAACTATGTGTCTAAAAGCACTGAAAGCGTCATACAATTTCTAAATCAGAGATTAATAGTATTAGCTTTAAAGTTGGGGGTATTTAGGTTTCCAGTAACGAATCGCTGTTTCAAGAAATATGAGATGCAGGGATCCTGTCCAATTATAATTTTTCGTATGCGGTTTTTTGTACACCAGTTACAATAAAAATAAAACAACAGAAGATGTCTACCAAAAGCGTACAATAAAGGTGGTTAAAATGCACATAAACAAAATCAGCAGCCAAAATCAGTAAGAAGTGCAGAGCATGTGGATTCGAGAATGTCTCCCAGTGGTATATGTGCATGTAAGCTAATGTGAAGACATCGACGATAGCGAAATAAAAATCGTCATGATTACCAAACAAAATTAAGATTTAGAAATTTTATTTATTTATCCCTTTGCAATTTAAACTTCCATACTAAATCATTATTTCCAACAATACCCCGTTTGCAGTTTTAATTGTTTTAATTCCTATTCCCTAACAAATTATTTCAAATAATCAATTTTATTTCTTGTCATGATCAAGATCAAGCTCGTATAATATAAAATGCATACTGCTAACAATACTGTACTTTTTCAATTCAACATCAAGCTAAATAAATCATAAACAGAGTTTTATGATCCCCCCCCCTCTTCTTTTTCAATGTACATGTATTCTAGTAAACATTTGATTTTTACACATTGAGAAAATGATGTGCAGACTACAGCCTTTTTGCCTATATAGGATATATGCCACTGTCTTCACGTAAAAGGAAGAAAGAGCAGCATGAAAGCAGCAGAGGAGAATGAGCTGTACGTCTTATTCATTTCTCTATAGCCGATGGACAGTAGAAGTAAACCCATATAAAGTGAAAGGACAACCTCCAGTATTTAATAAATCAGAATACTGGTATTTAGTCTACTGTGGATGTTGGAATGGAGAAATCCAGCAAATGAATCCCAACATCATTATTTGTAAAGTTGTCTCTGCTCATTGGAGGAAATTTAGGTGTTGGGTCTCGACATTTTGAAAATATAATTGTTCCTTTCAGCTTTAGGTACAGTGATGTGCCATAAGTGTTCGTCCAAATTCAATTTTCATTACGTCACTTTACATTTTCACATAACTTCGTCGACGCTGTATCTTTTAACCATGGCGTCAATGTTGAATAAATAAGTATATATTTATAGCATATCCACGTGACTGTCACGTGTCACAATTACGTAGCAAAATTATTTTCGTCTGCTGTGTATTTCCCCTGTAAACAAAATGGCTACCGTGCGTAAAGAATTGAGTACTGATGTTAAAGAAGTCATCGTTTCTCTTTACCTGTCTGGATTAAAACATTCAGAAATAGCAAGGAGATTACAAATTCCCCGGTCTACAATAACTTCTGTAGTTGACCGGTATCGCAAGCGAGGAAGTGTAGAAAACATACCGAGGAAAGGGAAGCAGGCAAAGCTAAGTGACAGAGACAGTCGCAGCATTTTAAGGTTGGTGAAAGAAAACAGAAAGAGAAAATTATCAGACATAACAGCCTTATTCAATGAAAATAGAGACTCTGCTATATCTAAACGGACAGTTCAGCGAAATTTGTACAAACAGGGGTATTTTAGAAGAGTTGTTCGAAAGCGCATAAGAATTCGCGAAGTGAACAGAAAAGCACGGCTCTCCTGGTGTAGAGGAAACAGATACAAAACTATAGATAATTATTGGAACAGGGTCATCTTTAGTGATGAGTGCAAAGTGGACGTTGGGACTGATAACCGTGTTTTTATATGGAGAAAGGTGGGCGAAGAGTGGATGCCATGTTGTCTCTCGCAACCTCCAACACCGAAGTTTAGTTTAATGATATGGGGCTGCATCACTTTCAACGGTGTAGGGACTGTGACTGTTGTAGATGGTAACATTAATGCTAGAAAATACATTGATATAATTGAAGATCAACTTTGGCCAGTCATAGCACGCCATTTTCCTCGAAATAACTATATATTTCAAGATGACAACGCCCCTATTCACAGAGCCCGAGTAGTTCAAGAATATAAATTACAGAATAATATTCATTCAATGGTTTGGCCCGCTCAGAGTCCTGATTTGAACATTATTGAAAATATCTGGTTGAGACTGAAAAGAGAACTGAAAAACGGCAACGAAATATTCTTGTGTAAAAATCAGCTGGAGGCAGCCATTCGACGTATCTGGATAAACATCCCAATTTATTATGTTCAGGGCTTATACAGGTCGATCCCAAGACGAATACAGAAAGTTCTGAGGTCAAAAGGCTATATAACAAAGTATTAAGGTAAGAAAAAATATTTTATAATTTTATTTCTGTGTTTTATTTTTCCGAAGCGTCTCGTTACTACGGCGGCCATTTTGAATTTGGACGAACACTTATGGCACATCACTGTATCTCTGAAGCCAGGCTCGTAGGAAGCAATTTCAGTTGGTGGGGGAGGGGTGCAGAGCCATACATTTTCAGTTGAGGGGTCAATATCAACCACCAAAATTCCTTGACAATTAATTAATCAAGCATAAAAAAGGTCATCGGGACTTTTTTTTTTTCAAAGGGGCACAATCATATATCTAGCGATATATTTTCTATTTAAATAGCGGCAACATTATGGGGAGGGTGGCGTGGTACCTCAATGAGTACAATTCTTGAATCAAAAATTAATTCTTCTGCTGTAAACTTGCAGTTCATCACATATAAGTTTTTACGTCCTCTTATATCAACTAGTCATTTGCTTTCCCTATGATTTCATTGTTGTTGTTTTTGCATTAATTGTCGGATGCAAACAACTCAAAAAATTCCTAGCTTTTCTATTATTTTTTTTTGGGGGGGGGGGGGGTTGAAATATTTTAAGGCATAGTAAAACGTTACGTAAGAAGGGTATTTTTAACATTTACACGGTCCCGAACCAGAATAATCAGCTTTATGTCACGTGATTCGGTAATGGAGAAAATGATCCGCTAAAGGAGAAAACATCATTCATACAAGTACAGCGATAATTTTTTATTTAATCAGCGGTTATTGGGAAAATATATACGATGTTATAAGTAAAACATAGTACCAGCAAACAATGTTGTAAAATGAATTTAACTCAAACTCGGGTACGAACTATCCAAGCAAATTTACTAAGTGATTCGATATCGGCAACCTCACTGTATAGTCAGTTTCTTTTATCAATTTATATACATATAAATTGTGAAAAAAAAATGGGGGGGGGGGGGAGAAAAAAATATTGTGAGATGTGTTTTATTTCATTAAGATCACTTCTGGTCAATTTTTATGTTGAATAAGTAAAACATTAACACACAGTGTATTTTCAGTATGAAATACTGCATAGGTATATGAATGTGTTCACTAAATTTCTCTTTAATAGATACAGGTAAATTGAGTTTCAAGTATACCTGATTTCACATTAGCTACATATCTGCACTACTAGTACATGTAAATATTTCTGGAAGGTATTTATCTACATAATCATATTCAGTTATTAATTTTTTCTGTTAACTGAATTCAACAAAAATAATTTAAACTGATATGCACACCATTTATATATCATGACTCGTATTGAAAAAAAAGACAAAGTAAACAAACAGCATGCAATCATGTTTTTATTTACAAGAAATTTACTAAGCACTACATGTAGACAGTCAATGGAATGTTCACCAACAAATAAGTTGTATAATACAGGGACATGTTATAATAAAGATTATGCTGTTTAAAAATGAAGTAAAACTTATAAATCAATATTTAGATACCCTTCACAAGATCTCCAAATTTTGACTATTTTTAATAAACAAAATGAAGTGCACATGTACATTCTAAATACATGTATTATTTTCCTACTCAAAAAAATTAAAGTTCCATTTTTTAAAGATAATCAACCTTATAATAAAATTCATAGTAAAAATATTCAAGTGTTTCTTTCTTTACTGATCTGGTTTAAAATTCATGTGTAATTACAATATTAATTCATATAGTTTAAGCATGCAATACCAGTGAGAGCTACATGTAGCTATTACCTCCCTTTTTTGAAAACATTTTCTATACTGTGATTGAATTAAAAACATCAGTTTTAAGTTATAAATCTTATCTTATCATTTTATAACCTATGAAGTAACCTGCATGCACAGTGGCAAGAGCATCTGCTCGAGAGTCATGAGTAAGGAGTTGATCCATAAATTGGTGGTTCGAAATCCCCCAGTCGGACATAGATGAGACTAATGCCCTGTTCACACGGAGAGTTTAATTCAAATTAAACGTAAGTTTGCTGCGAATTAGCTTCGCTTAGCGTTCACACGGAGAATTTAATGCAAATTAGTTTACTTCGCATTAGTTTTCTGCGCATTAAATTACTTCGCATTAGCTCCTGTGAACGCTAAGCGAAACTAATTCGAATTAAATTTTGGGGCATGCGTAATGGCAAAATTGTCAAATGCGTCTTGTCGGTGGTCAGCTTTAAGTACTTGTGCTATCTTTGAGTGAAAAACTAAGAAAAAATGTGTTTATCACTAAAATATGTCTCCAGACACTGTGACATTATGTCAAATGCATCTGCTTCTGCATAAGGTGACGTGATTTGTAAATGACGTCATAATAACCTTCCTCACGCCTGACTGTCGAAGTGAAATTTTAATTCGCATTAGTTTACTTCGCATTAGCTGTCGTGTGAGCGCAATTTAATGCGCATTAGTTTGATTCACATTAGTTTACTTCGCATTAATTTACTGCGAATTAAACTTTTCGTGTGAACAGGGCATGTATATACAGAGGTCCTGTGTTGCAGTAGGTGCTAGCACCAAAAAGATCCCTCATTGCTCAATTAGCCATGTGTGCCAAGTAAAGGACAAAATTTGCAGCTCTCCAACGACAAATGTTGGCATCCCCAAATGAGTGAAAATTTCTCAAGAAGAAATTAAACAAATAAACAATAAACTATAGAGTCTTTGAATATGCAAATTCTTTTTTTTTCTGAGAAAGGGATCCTCAAATGATGTTAAGATATGGTTCATATGAGTAGAAAAGTACTGTATCATCCCAGCTAGTCTTCATGAATTCAGCAACCATTTGTTATATGGCCTGAAAAATATGAAATGTTAATGCATTAACATAAAAGTATATGATTGATATTTTTATAATTCATCATAAATTAATTGAATCAATAAAATAAAGTCACACTTGTTATCTTGAAATGGTCATGGGACTGCTGAAAAAAACTGAGATATCCAAGAGATTCAGGGTAAGATATATAGAAAAAAAAATGTTGTTCAAGGGACTTTAAAATGACTTTGATATCTCAATGTGTTCAAGATATCACTCAGTGTCCACTGTCAAAGATATATACCAAAGTTCAACTCTAAACAGAGTATGTAAAATTCATATACATGTATGCCATTTACAGTTGCTAATTCAATCTATCATTGTTCATTAATAATCTGCATGAATGCGCAAAATGAGCAAATTAAATTTACAAAAGTAAATCATATATATGCAATCCCTTACCAAAGTAAAATTATTGCAGCAATATTGCTGCTATATTGCAGCAACATTGCGGCAACACATTTTTGTCACCAGAAACAAGCTTTTTGGGTTAGTGAAATATCACAGCTAGCTGCAACAACTTCTGGTGACATTCTGGCAATACTGCCAGAAAAAAACTTTCTGGCAACATCTAGGATTACCCATGAGCCATTTGTTGAGCATGCTCAGTCATTTACTTCCTCTTTTTAAATAAAGTGGAGGGAATTCAAAGGCAAGCATGTTTTGCTTCATTACTGACTTGTATCAAGTTAATTAGAGTTGTAAATTGTGTACAGTGGGATTAGTCAAGATGAGTAGTAAGACTGCATATGACTAGAAAAAAGAATTTAAGCAGAATTATAGGAATGTGTACTCTGTTTCCATATCATCAGACTTGGTGAGTCAAAACCAATATTCTTTTTGAGATGAATGATTCAATGGAGATAAAACTGGAAAAATTACATGTGTTTCAATTAGTGCTTGTGATGCATGCATACTAGACTTGTATGTCTATATATCCTAGAGTAGCAGGAAAAGATGAATTAAAGCATGTTATTTGAAAGTTAATGCAGAGTTGCTGGACATTTTCACAGTGGCATATTAATATTGTTTCTATTAACATTTTTTATGCGCCCGTCTCGATAGATCGGGGGTACATATTGTTTTTGTCCTGTCTGTTTGTTTGTAAACTTTAACCTTCACCATTACTTTTGAACCAATGAGAGATAATTTCATATTTGGTATGTCAACTCCACTAATTAAGTTCTTTCAAACGACATCAAGGTCAATGACCTTGTGACCTTGACTGACCTATATGCTAAAAATAGCTTTTTCGAATATTCATCATAACTTAAAATTAATGAAAGATAGAGACTTTATATTTAGTATGCATAATTCACTAATTAAGCTTTTTCAAAAGACACCTGAAGGTCAATGACCTTGAGACCTTGGCTGTGACCTATATCCTTAAAATAGATTTTTTGAACCTTGGACATAAATCTTGAGCCATAAAAGGTAGAGAACTTGTATTAAGTATGCACCCTTCATTAATTAAGCTCTTTCAAATAACACCAAGGTCAATGACCTTGGGACCTTGACTGTGACCATATACAATGTACTTAAAATAGATTTTTTGAAACTTCGACATAACTTTTGAGTCATAAAAGATGGAGAATTCATATTTAGTATGCACCCTTCACTAATTAAACTCTTTCAAGTAACACCAAGGTCAATGACAATTTGACCTTTACTGTGACCCATATGCTAAAATAAGCCATTTTGATCCTCTGCCATAAATTTTGAACTATAAGAGATAGAGACTTCATATTTAGTATGCATACTCCACTAATTAAGTTCTTTCAAATGACACCAAGATCAATGACCTTGTGACCTTGACTGTGACCCATATGCTATAAATAGCTTTTTCATCAAACTTTATTGCCACCAGGTGCATAGTGTTTCACAAACATATCTTGATTTTCATTATGATGATCAACATAATTTTCTATCTGTTCAAATAGCAGAAGTAGCTATTTCTTATTGCCCCTGTGGCTTGCTATTGTTTGTTATATTCCTCAGCACAGTTTGTTAATTGTTAGATTGATAGATCATTATTTCTATTAAATACCAATTTATATGTAACTTACATACGAAAAATAACATTGCCGCAATATTGCGGCAAAATGCCGGAAGATGTTGCCAAAAGATCAATATTTTGGTCATGATTTGCAGCAATATTGCCGCAACCCCTTTCTGGCAATATTGCCGCAAAACTATTTAACATACGAAAAACGATATAGCCGCAATATTGCGGCAATAATGCCGGAAGATGTTGCCAGAAGATCAACATTTTGGTCATGATTTGCAGCAATATTGCCGCAACCCCTTTCTGGCAATATTGCCGCAAAACTAATTTACATACGAAAAACGATATAGCCGCAATATTGCGGCAATGTATTGTCAGAATGTTGCTGCAATATTGCAGCAATAAAGCCAGAAGATGTTGCCAGAAGGTCAATATTTTGGTAAGGGATTCCAAGTGTTTGCAAATCATTCATCCAATTTGTAATACTGTCATGAACATCAACATACCCTAGGTAGTCAAGTTTTTATATTTTAAGATACTGTTGTTCAACTGTACTTGTTTAGACTGCACTGTATTCACATGTTTTCCAACAGTACACAGTTTCACATTATCTGAAATCCATCATTACTATCATGATGAGAGTTATGCCCCTTTTCTATAGCCCCAAAATATTGCTTTTTTCTGAAAATTGTGGCTATTTTGACCTTACATAGATATCAACTAAAGTCTCCATAAAATAGGAATTTAAATTATGAAAACATACTATTTTAATCTCTACTTAACTTAAAAGCCAAGAAATAAACAAAATGATTTTCCAATATTTACATAGGACTTTCAAGATAAACTTTCTGTTTCTAATAATGGCACATCCATTACCCTTGATTCTGGGATTCTATACTAGGATGTATTCGTTCAAAAAATATGGTTGTATCGTGGCCCTAATAATCTTGAATAGATTTCATAATAAAAGGCTTCAGCCTTAAATATTCCAGAATAAAACTTTGACCCCCCACTGTGGACCCACCCTACTCTATAGCTATATGATCTGAACAAATCTAAATCTGCTCATAACTATCTCAGAGTGACTAATAATGACCTGCCTATTCTTGAAAAGAATTAAGATTTAATTTTTTGTCTACGGATTACTATAGTTTATTGCTGTACTCTATATACATCGATAACATATCATCACCAGTAATCAACATACCTTCTCTTTGGACTTGACATCCTTTCCTAGATTCTCGTGGTTGAAGCTTTCATCAGATAATTTGTTTTGTTACAGCTGAACTACAAATATGATTAATAAGTTAATACAATCCTCTACGTTTAATTAATCCAAATAAAATACAAGCATTTGCAATAATGTGGAAAGAAAACAGAATGAAAAATACTGACAAATATCAAATGCAAATCAGAAAAATATGTAATGCAATCATTTACAGTTTGCATAATATGCTGATTTATGTATCAGCATAATTTTCAGTCCATTAAATTGTTTGCTGAAACAGACAACCAACTGTATTCATAAATTCTCTTTTAATGGATTTTCTTCTGCCTTTGAACTTACATGTACTATTATGTAGCATGATAATGTGAGAATTTTTTCACCCATTCTTTATTATTAAAGTATCTGCTGAAAATAGAACAGAATGTGATTAAATCTTTTGAGAATTAAACAAAAACGAAAATCACTGATGCATGATTTTCAATTATATTGACCCTTTTATCAACATCTCTCTCTCTCTCTCTCTCTCTCTCTCTCTCTCTCTCTCTAACTATACATGTATATTACTTTACACAGGATTCTTTTATACATTGATATATATGTACATGTAGATATTGGAGTAATTGGGCATGCTTAATATTTTTTATTTGTTTATTCCAATCAGCATGATCAGGATGATAGTAATTAAATAGTAATGTTACATATTAAATATGTTATAATTTTATCCTTACAGTTACATATACAATACTCACAACAGGCAAACCTTGAACTTGCACATCACTGATTGTCTTCAGAGTACATCCTGCAAGAAACATTCGATCATTGCACATTACAATTGAATTGATTTGATTTTCTTTTTTAAAAGTTTATATTTGCTTTTTTTGTTTTATTTTAATGAAATTATAATTTTTGTGCATTAAATACAGTATCATCACTCTCATTTGCATACAAATTGAAGACCATTTTTAAATTCAATCAACAATGTCATTCTTCAAAAGAAAAGACATACATTGTAAAGATCAGTAAAGCCCATATTTTAAAAGTGGAGAGAAAAAATATATTTTCTTGTGTGTATAATTGTGTGGGATGGTGCATATCATTAAAAAAACAAACAACAAAAAAGACGGAAAGTCTTGATAGCTGACTTTACAATGCAAGGCTAAAAAATAAATGAAGGCCCACTGGACTGGGGTCAGTGATTTTTGTTTTATCTAGGATAGTACATGGTAGGGGGGCATCTGTCTTTTGGGTCAGTTCTATGTACATGTATAACAAAATACAATTATAGTTGGGCTAGTAATTACCCCGGTACTTCAAGACAGGCCTGTTTCAAAGTTCTGTCATTTCGGAATCCTGTTTTGTTTAGATTAATTATTTGTCCAACTGTGTATCACATTAAATAAACAAAATATAACTATTACATTTATCATGATTATTATTATTATGGTTTTGGGTCAGTCTCTTTTTATTAAATCTAGTAGCCTGGGAGTGGGATAGTGATATTATGATGATCTGACCAGAAAAAAATCCTGAGTGAGCAGTGAAAGAAAACTATTTCTAGCCTGGGCCTACAATGATTTCACATTTGTGCTTTATTATATACATTTTCTAAATTCAATAATTTTTGTTTATTTAGCCTTATAGGGTCAATTGTGTTATTTTTGTCATACCTGGAGATGGCTGTTTAAAATGTACTTTACAGCTGTACCTGCAATACACAAACAAAAAAGAAAATTACTTTTCATTTAACACATTGAAATAATTAAACACAATATGTAAATTAAATACATGTATTCTTACAAACAAAAATGCAAAAAATCAATGTAAATTATCTTAAGCAATATCTTTTCATTACACAGATTGATGCACGCATGCATGTAATTTATTATACCCCCCACTTGAAAAGCGGGAGGGTATATTAAGTAATCGGTATGTCTGTCCATCTGTTATGCTTTGGTGTACCCATCTCTTATCCGCTAATTCCTCTCATACCACTGAGTGATATTTGATGACTTTCACAGAATCTATATTACATATTGCAATTGTGCATCTTCTATTTTACTTTTTGATCCGCCACATATTTGGGGTTTCCCATAGCAAAACATGGACATAGTCATTATATTCATATGAGAATTAGCGGTGGGTATCATTTAGTGTCAGAGCTCATTGCTCACAGTACCTCTAGTTTTAATATGTTTTACGGTATGACCGTTGAGGCGAGCGCAGTTATGCACTATCATAAACTTACACATGAACTGCCTATCATTCAAGAAAAAAAAGAAAGAAAACAAAATAATAAAAAGAAATCACTTCCCAAACATCGGGATCGAAATTCTGAACTTCTCGGAAGTTTCCGACAAAATCGGAAATACCCGAATCGATAAAGGGACGAAAGTATGACGTCAGATAAAAAGTCCTGTAGACTTAGGAAGCAAACGATGGTATTATGGCATGGAAATTGCAATAAATCGTTGTTTGTAATTTTTTTTCAAGTAAGTTGTTGCTATGATTTAGTCACCTTGTTGCTATGCACCGCAAAGGATTGCTGGGAGTTTGGAATTTTTTCACGCGGTGAGATAAAAATTTCTTGGAACAATGTGCAGATTTCAACCCGAATTTCCTCCGTTCGTACACGTTAGTCTATTGAGCTCGCTACGCGAGCGGCGCTTCGCGCCGCCTCGCTGCGCTCGCTATAATATTTATACTATTTCAGTAGCTACTTTTAATTGGGCAATACTTTAAAAGGGAAAATAGTGGTACGCTTAGAAATATTCAAAATTTTCATAAACTGCATATATGTGATTGATTGATTGTATGTTGTTGGGTCATTCTACGAATAGAGGCCCAAATGGTGTCCAGTCATTTTAGTATGTGTTGAGCAGTGCCTGGTTTATGAAATTTTAAAAATAAATCTGGAATATTGTAGAAGGAGATAATAAATATGCATACACACCATAAGGATACCCCTGAAAGCAATATTACTTCTAAAAAAAATTTTTACCGTCATGGACTTGCTTTGAAATGCCATGTCCCAAACTACAAAATCAAATTTGCAATATTGAATATGCGCGTGTGAAAATTAAATTTTCTGTCAAAATTTAACCTGTCGAGATTACTAAGGTATAATAAAATATTCATTGTTGATTTTAAAAAGATACTGGTTACTAAATTCTTTTTTTTAATAATTTATTGTTTGTAAATCGGTGTCCCTGATATTCTTGTCATTACCGAAACGGTGGGATAAAACTGCAAAATATAAGAGACAAGAACGATAATCCAAAAGAAGAAGCCACGTGATTAAAAGTTTCAGAAACCGCCATCTTTGGTTCAAAGCACAACGCTCTCCTGTGGGTAAGTAAGCAGATATTACATTGTAAATGGTCTTACTTTCAAGCGTATGTTTATTCAGTGTCATTACCGAATGCTTGCTACAATAAAAGTACGATCACCTAGGAAAAATGCAATTGTTTAGAAAGAAATATAGATTGGTTTTGAATTGTGTTGTACATTATTTAACCCCTTTTGGCAAGTAGCGCCCTCTATATTCTGTTTAACATTTCAAAATGTCATTACCGAAACGTGTCATTACCGAAACAAATCCCTTGAATCAAATCGTTTCGGTAATGACATCAGTGTTACGGTAATGACAAATCATCTTTAGATTGTCTTGTGCATGGATTTTACAACACTATTATAGTGTTTTATGCATAAGAGGTTGTTACAAATAACTCCTATATGTGGGTCCAGTCCTGGGAGGTAGTCGAGACTAACCTACATGTAATACACAGTGTTTTGAACAATTGTTTTCAAATGCTGATGAATTACCTGTTTAAAAATTAATTTTGCTCAAGCCATGACTGTTTCAAAATAAATTTGGAAAATATAAGGCATGATAACTGGGGGAGGGGGTTGTATACCATTATAAAGCACGTGCTTCTTAATGCAATTAAATGTTCAGATTGAAGTAAATTTCTAACAAATTCCTTACAATTTTTAATTCGCACTGGCTGTCAAAACAAAATTATTAGATTCATATCCATGCCTTTATTAAAACCTGTTACTTTTTTATTTCTAGGAATGAATAAAAGTAAACTTGATAAGAAAAACGTCTTTGCAATCGAAAATTTAGTGGTGATTTCTGAAAAAAAGCTTAAGGAGCTTCTACTCTTTCAATACACTGATAACTTACGTTTTGAATGGGCAAAATTAGTCGTTGATGCATATGAAAAATATGAACATTCAAAGGAACTGTTATTACTGATGAACAAGTGCTTGAAAAACCCTGAACTATGGCACTCACTGCAAAAGAAAGATCAAAAAGATGGAGGGAAAAACAGAAACAGGATCCAGAAAAACATGCAAAATACTTGGAGAAAGAAAAGCAAAGGTATCAAGAGAGGAAAAAAGACGGCAAACTGAAAAAAGTAGAAGAGTTATCAGAGAGAGGTCAGCGATCAGTAAGAAAACAATGGAGAAAAAATCAACGAAACAAAAGAAAAAAGGATAAGGAGACTAAAATTCTCCTTTCAACTAATACACCTCCGAATTCACCAAGTCAAGATCTGTCACGCGAACAGCTTCCTCAGGACGGAAGAACATCTAGAGGTAGAAAGAAAATCAGGAAAGATAGATCGAAAGCATACAGAGAAATCGGTAAACTACGAATCAAACTTGCACAGAAGGAAAAAGATGTTGCCCGATATAAAAAAAGACTCTACAGAGAAAAAGTGAAAAACAGAAATTTGGATTCTCCAAGAACTAAAACGAACACTCTTATCAGAGGACAAAACGTGTCGGAGGAAGTAAAGCGTACTTTGCATTTTCACCACAGCCTGGTCAAAGGTATCAGAGAAAAGTACAGATTGGCTGCTGAAAGGAAGAGTAAAGAGATTTTTGTCAATGTTTTGACATCAAAGTTATTACGAAAATACCGACTTAAGAAGTATGCAGCCAAAGCATTTGGATTCTCAAGGAAGAGAAATTTAGATCACAAAGGGAATATGGAAACGCGGAAGGGCTTATTCAAAAGAAACAGATCAAGGATAGATGAAATACAGAGATCAGTCAGATCTTTCCTTCAGCGCGACGATAACAGCAGGATAGCACCAGGAAAGAAAGACACAATAACCCGGAACAAAGTAAAGAGACAGAAGCGTTTTTTGAATGACGATCTGAGAAATCTCCATGACAAATTTCTGTCTGAATTTCCAAACTTGAAGTTGTCGTACTCGTTGTTCTGTAGGTTCCGACCATTTTGGGTGCTCAAAGCAACTGAGAAGGATCGCCAAACATGTTTATGTATAAAACACGAAAATCTGCAATATCAAGTTGATAAACTCAAAGGCCTTGGTCTTATTTCCTCAACAAATTTCAATTCCCTCGCTGCAGAGATATGTTGTGACACCGGGAGCAAAGCTTGTATGTATAGAGAATGTCCGCAGTGTGAAGACAAACAAGTTATTATATCAGACAGGGATCTTGGAAAACAGGTCACATGGAAAAAATGGGTCAGCCGACGGGTTGAAAAAGTCAAGAGAGTTCAAGGAGAGGACATAAAGTATGTCACATCCTTGACAATGCGGGAAGATGAGAGTGGGAGTGCTATGTCACTTGTTGAGGAATTCCAAGAAAATCTAAAGAAGATTTGTCGCCATTTTTTCAATATTAAACATCAGTACATCGCTCTTAGAACTTTGCGACAAAGTATGACAGAAAACGAAGTAATGATTCATATCGACTTCTCAGAAAACTACCAGTGTAAATATGACAGAGAAATCCAAAGTGTGCATTTTGGTATTAACCAAAACCAGATCACTCTACATACAGGTGTGTTTTATTACAAAGACACATGCACAGGATTCTGTACCATTTCTGATTTTAACAAGCATGGACCCCCAGCTATCTGGGCCCACTTAAAACCAATTCTGTCCTTGCTGCGAAGTACATATCCAAACATAAGCACTGTGTATTTTGTAAGCGATGGACCCACAACCCAATATAGATGCAAGGCAAATTTTTATTTGCTTTCAACTTTGCTCTTTGACTGGGGTTTCAAAGTAGGTAACTGGTCTTTCTTAGAAGCTGGCCACGGGAAAGGCCCTGCAGATGGTATTGGCGGATCGGTGAAGCGGGCAGCAGACGCCTTTGTCTCTAAAGGTGGAAGTATAAATAATGCAAAGTCAATGAAGACTGCGTTGCAGCAAAAAGACTCGACTATTCAATATTATTTAGTTAGTGAAGCAGATGTTGAGGAGATCCAAAGAATAATACCATCAGACCTGGATTCTGTTCCGCAGACCATGGAGCTACATCAGGTATCAGTATATTTGTAGTTTTATTGAATTCAAGTCATTGTATTAAAATATTGACCATTTATTTAGAAACTATCTTCCATTCATTCTCATTCACAGGTTTATTCAGAGGAGAGACACAAGTTAAGGGTGAGGGTACTCAGTTGCTTTTGTGCAAAGCCGAAGTCGTGCGAGTGTTTCCAGCCTTCAGCTTTTACCTTCACTTCGGTATCAGATCGTGTGAGTTCTCCGGATGTAGATCTTCCCATTGAGTCCAATCCTTCTTCGGCTGATACAGACTGGATTGGAAAGTGGTGTGTCGTTCTGTACGATGACGTGCCGTACCCTGGAATCGTTCAGGATGTGGACGATGAAGACTTCGAGGTTAAAGTCATGCACAAGATCGGTCAAAACCGATATTTTTGGCCCCTTCTGCCAGATATCCTTTGGTATGAACATAACAAAGTCGTTTGCAAAATACAAGAGCCTTCTCCGGTGGGTAGTAGGCACTTCCAATTATCAAAAACCGATTATGAACACTTGCTCCAGTTATTACAGTAAATGTAACTGTGATCATTTGGTGCGTATTTTTGCAACGGTGAACAAGTTGAAATGTTTGTTTTTTGTTGGTAGCCTTTCTGGTTGAAAAAAATGAGTGTGTTGTTTGTAGTTAAATTGATAATAAAGTTCGTTCTTGCTTTATACCACATTGGGTTTTTTTGAAGGATAAGATACAAAAAAAATTTATAGAATAATTTATGAAAATATTCGATCGAAACAACTCGAAACCATTTACCGGAACGCACTGTCACTACCGCAACGCATTGTCATTACCATAACGAGGAGAAAATAGGTCAATTAATTATCAATTAATCTAATAATAAATGCAATAAAGTGTTTAATCAACATGCATGAGTCCGTGAAATCTCACACCGTAGAAAAATGGAAGTAAAATAATCATATACACTCCTCAAGTGGTTTATTGACCAATAGGTTTTTTGCATTTTTTAAAAACGTAAATTTAACACCACAGTACGAAAAATAATGTGCGAATATTTCACTCAAATAAGCATGAAGGTAAGATATTACTAAGATTTATTACTTAAAACTATGAAAAATTTGGTTTAATACTGTATCAATATTTTATGACGATTTAGTCGTCTGTTGCGGTAATGACAATTTTTTTCCATGTATGTATGTGTAAGTCTCAAAATAAGCAATAAAATATTTTAAACATTGCTGCTGCATGTTGAAATGGTTTCCTCTAAGTTAGATTTAGTAAATAACGCTGAAAAATTGCATAAAATAGGGTATATGAATTCTGACTTTTGGAAAGTTCGTTTGGGCCTCTATCCGTAGAATGACCCTGTTTTAATAGAATGTCCCTCTCGAGAATTTTTCACTCATATGGAGGCGCCACCACTTGCTGGTGGAGGGCTACAAATTTTAGGTGAGGGCCTTTGAGCAGGGAGGAATCTTTTTTGTGCCAGCACCTACAGCGACACAGGGCCTCGGTTTATACGGTCTCATCCAAGGACCGGTCTCCACGTCCCACAGTGGGATTCGAATTAGCGACGTAAGGATCGACTCCTTTACTTACCAACTCTAGAACAGATGCTGTAATCACTGCATCACAAGTATGTGAGAACTGCATTAAATTGACATCATCTGATCATAAATTTTATGATATTAAAATAAATTAGAAAAGTAACAACCATATTTTGATCAGAAGGCTCTCAGTGAAAACTGCATGATTGATATAAACAGCTGACACTATTAAAACTGCAAACAAATGTAAACAAACCTTTAATCCTTTATCCAGGTACACATGTTTATATGTAGAGGAAATTCGGAAGAACTTCTTGTGCATACACACCAGTACGGATAGAATTAAATTTTAGTCTCTTGGTATTTGAAAAAACACATATGGTACTCACAAATCACTGGGTATTGATAAGTAAGAATAATGACTTTTATATGCATGCATAGTAGACTACCTTACAAGTAGGAACGAACTATAGCACACCTGCATTTTCTCTTCAATTTTAGACATGCTATTAACAGCATTTGACAAACATGCCCTAAAATATTTAGCCATTTTGTGCTAGAGGTAATCGAAAAAATAAACGAAATTCTACTTACGAGTGTTTTTGTTCACTAAATCAATGTATGTGGGTTAATCTTGACCATCACAACTACTCCCTTCCACGTGGAAACATGTTTACAAAATCGAGAGGTGCTGTTTTGACACTTTAAAGTGCAATAGCACTTGACAGAATAAGAAACTGCAAACCTACTTTCACTTTTCAGGTAAAGAAACGTTTGTTTTTCAACTTTTTGCAATTTACAAATCTTATAAATCGAGATAACATAAAGTTTTACCTCTTTTTTCATGTTGAATTTCTCTCTCGATTTTCACCTGTAGCATGTTGGTCTCGCTGAATTCTCGCGAGGAAAGCTGTTCGGACGTTTACGGATTTTGTTCATATTTTATTACGTTTATCTCCGAATTCTTCCGATTTATGCTAATGAGGTTAGGAGGTGTGAAATAGTTTTAAGACTGTTGAAAGGAAGCAGAAATATGGCTTAAAGATGACTTAATGATGACTGAAAAAGGTTTGGACATTAAATACCTATAAGTTGCAGCTAAATCGTGTTTTAATGCTGGCTTATTAAAGAAATTAATTTATTTAATCCCCATTTAAGCAATTACCTAATGGTGGCTTTTCTTCCTGTCAGCTATTATGGCAGGTAAAATTCAACAATTTTTGCTGAATATTTTTTTTACAGAATTCAATAAATTGATTTTCAAAGATTTTTAAGATCATTTATACGTGTATAGTGGTATAGGATGTGAAAACAATAATCGATGTAATACCTGAAAAAGGTTGTGATATATGATCATGACCACGATGCCATTTACATCTGGCTAATGGAACCATAAACAAAAATATAGATTTATTTGCTCAAGAAAAAAAAAACAAAAACAAAACAAACGAAAACAGACATATGTGTGTATTACATATAGCTCCGTATAATGAATACCAGTAGAAGTTTGAAGGTATTCCTTTGTATCAATCTCCAATTTGTCTCTTAATACATGTATCTTGATATTAAAATTTTGAAATTTAGGATCACATTTAATCAAAACATGAAACCAATGAACTGATTTCCATTGACCATGGTTTCTTAGAATTTATCTATTTATTTTTCAAATCAATTCATTTTATTCATATCTTCTTCGCTAGCCAAGGATTTCAGATCCGAAATCTACGTTGTAGAGTAGATTTTAGATCGGAAACCTCTGTCTAGCGAAGATAATTCATATTTTTTTTAAATAAAATTTACTACATTTTTTCTTTATTTTGTGTTTTTTATAAGATAAATATTTCTGCGGTTAATTGAATTTTGATGATTTTTCTTTTATGGAATAAGCAGGATATATGTTTAAACTAAAAAAAGACGCAAAATGATAATTTTTTATGAGGATATCACATATTTATAACATAATTTATATTCGTTTGAACTTTCAAAGAAGAGAAAAATTACAATTAACTATGCAGTAAATAGACTGGAGAAAAATCCTAATAATTTTTCAAGCACAACACACATACGAAAAAAAGTTTGTAGAATTCAAATACTATTTCAGCCAGAATCATTATCTTTTCATTCTCGTCATCATTTTCGATGATTTCATTGTAGAATCAAATGCACCTTTCCAGTCATACCACAGTAATCCTCGATGATTCTTTTCTCCAAAGAGACCATTCAGATTGCTCTGTGCACAACTTGCATACCACCAGCCACCATGATAATAATCCGCACAATTAAAAGCTGGATCCGGATAAATATCATTATCCATATCAAATGTTGAAAACTGTCTTCCATTATGTTGAATAAAGCTGTCGTCTACAGTATAGATAAACATTGTGACATGAAAATTTAATTCTGCAAGAAATACTAGTATCAAGATATTATACATTGAGTTTTGCAATGTTGGATTTTCAATATTGGAGTATTTGTTTCAAAATAAATTTTCAAGAAGACTCTCTTTGATTCATTAACACAATTATTATTTGGCATACTTGTAACTCATAAACACACTTGATAAATCCTTATAAAAGTCGAAACTGCTGAAGTACACAAATCAAGCTTACAATCATGTCAAGAACGCTTGTACTTTGCAATTTTTTCCTAAGATAAGAAGCAGTTTTGGATATTATATGTTGCATATACATAACACACAACTGTAACAATTTTATGCCCCCGTAAACGAAGTTTCTGGAGTATATAGTTTTTGTCGAGTCCGTCCGTCCGTCTGTCTAGCTGTCTGTCTATTTGTCCGCAAACACTTGCCCATAACTTTTGATTTAGTGGAGCTATGACTTTCATATTTCACATGTGTATTCCTTGTCACAAGACCTTTCTTTGGGAACCACGAAATTTGACCTTTTGACCTTGGAATTTAACCCACTTTTACATAAAAAATTCAAACTTTCGCTTTGGCCATATCTTTTGAACAGTATATACCAGGACATATATACTTCACATACTTAACCTTGTATTTCTTGTGGAAAGACCTTTCATTGGATACCAACAACTTTGACCTTGACCTTGGAGATTTCCGTACTTACAAAAAAAAAACATTTACCTTGGCCATAACTTTTGAACGCTAAGGGCTAATGATCTCTCACGTCACATATGTAATCCATGTGAGAAGACCCTTCATTGGATACCAAGAACTCTGAATCTTTGACCTTGGATTTGACCTACCGTGTACTTTAAAAAAGCAAACCTTTACCATAACTTTTAAAGGGTAAGGGCTTATGCTTTCATACTTTACATATTAAATTCTTGTGATTCTTGTGCTAGGAATCTATACTTCACATATGGATTTTTTGTAGAAAGACTTTTCATCGGATACCAATTACCTTGACCTTTTAACCATGACCTTGGAGAATTTAATACATATGACAAATCTTAAACCTTGTTCATAACTTTTGAATGCTAAGTGCTAGTGATTTCTTACTTCACATATGTAATTCTTGTGAGAAGATCCTTTATTGGACACCAAGAACTCTAACTCTTTTACCTTGGATTTGACCTACCGGGTACTTTAAAAAAACAAACCTTGACTAAAACTTCAACTTTTAAAGAATTAGGTCTAGTGCTTTCATACTTTACATATTTAATCCTTGTCACAAGACCTTTTATTTGACAGCAAGTCCTTTGTCCGTTTGACCTTAAACGAGGAGTTTGACCTACTTTTAATTTTTTCCACGGCCATAACTTCTAAAAGGTTAGGACAAGGGCTTTCATACTTTACATATGTATTCTTCGTGGCAAAAACTTTCATGGATACCAATTACCTTGACCTTTTAACCTTGACTTTGCAGGACATTTGACCCGCTGACCTTGAACTTGGTGTTTGACCTACTTGTTAAATTTTTAACCTTGGCCGTAACTTTTGAAAAGTTTGGGCTAGGGCTTCCATATTTCACATATGTCTATTTTTTGGCAAGACCTTTCATTGGATACCAATTACCTTGATCTTTTGACCTTGACTTTGGAGATTTCTATACTATGAAAAAAACTTTTACCTACTTTTATATTTCAGAATTGTATTTTCAGTGATTTTGTATTTAAGAAAAGTTTAATCTTCGCTATGTTGCCACACGGGGGCATCAGTGTTTCGCAAAAAACATCTTTTTTTACTTTAGAAACAAGTGTTTCATGCATATAGCATATGTTTAAGTATAAAACACTACTGTTATAACCTTAGATTAATATCATTTAAAACTCACTTGCATTTCCTGTATATCCCTTTACAGCCAAAGTGTAATTGTTTTCGGGACCTCCCAAGGAGAAATCAGAGTACTTTGCATATCGCAATTCTCCTGTTTGGTCCTCCAAATCAATCCTGAGTTCAAAATTTCCTTCCTTCACAATTTCATGCAATGCCTGATTTCCTGATAAAATTTCAAACTACTAAAGCATTCATGATGTTACCAGTATGCAAATAACTGCGATTAAATAAAAATGCTCAAAGATTTCCATTTCAAATGTACAAGTATGCTTGTTTAGTGGGTATTGAGTTGAAACTTTTTTTTGTAATTAATCAACGATCTAAAGAATTGGTTTCTAAAATGAATAAAACGATAATTGCCGAACTACATGTTAATGAGCTTGTGATGTTGTATACTGAAACACAAAAGAAACTCAACATGTAGTAATCAACTAATATTTTTTATCTTAAGATTTTTTAGAAATAAATACAGTTAGGTAAAACTCGATTTAAAAACAGTAAAGATATGATAAAAAATGTTGAATGATTATCTTTTAACTCTAAAAAGTAACACACACCCAAAACGGCCATTGAATTTCAACGTGCACGACTACCATGAACAACAATTTCAGCTTGATATCTACGTAGGATGCAAAAGGTTCATCAATCGCGAGATCTAAACCAAAAAAATATTCTTTGCCTTTTTGGAAGGCCTATTTTTTCAAATGATGAGGTCTGATTTTCTCTAGCCTAGCGCAGTGTAGAAACCATTGATCTTCCGATCAAAGGACAGTCATACATGCTTATGAAATATAAGAGCTTGTTGAGACGTGATGTAGTGCATATTTGCATCTGCAACTCTTTCTTTTGAGAATTTTCTTGCTAGAGAAATGGCAATGTGGATTTTTAGTTATTTTAAGGAAGCTTTGGCATCGTTTTAGGAAAAGAAAGGAGAATTTATTTTTTGGAATATTGCTGCATTACTTATGATGAACAGATGCAAATCCTTAAAACCCCACACTATTGCTAAATGTTTTGCAAACATGCAATTTTTTTGAAATTTCTGTTACGGGGACTCAACTTCCGGTAAAAGCCCTTTACCAAGCAATTTAATTTTAGAACAGCGGGGAGTAAGTCACGATCATTTGACTGTACTCTTGACTTAATATTTACTTGTGAAATTTATATACCAATATAGAAGTTATTCAAGTTTCCAAATCCCTCTCTATATTCGGTCCAGTTCCTGAAGAAATCAACACTTCCGTCCGATCGCATTTGAAAGACCTAAAATGAACAACTACAATTCTACCTCATCATTTTTATTATTTCATTGTAATACATTCATAAATTTATAATTTAATATATCATATCCGTATTCTCAATATCACATTTATCACAAGATTACTTCTTTAAACTTCATTAAACAACTTTGTAAATTGCAAATAAAAATCAATTTATTTCAAAAACTCTCTTTTTGCATGGTCCATGGAAGGAATCAACTGCTCTTAAATGTAATTTTTCAAATGCAATTTGGATTTAGGAAATTGGGAAAAGGTAGATCAATAGATAGAAATTTTAATACATATATATTGTTCCTAACTTTATATAATTTGGAGAAAAAAAGCATATATACTTACTATCCATCTTCCACCGTCTGTTATCATATCACAATACAGTTCTTTTGTTTTGCCATTCGAAAATTCTTTGAAATATGAATACGAAGATGTTGTCACGGATACAAGATTTCCACTGCAGTCTAAAATTTGCATACTAGGTTATTTAGTTTAACAATCTATTGTTATGGGTTATGTTAATGGTATTTTATAGAGCAAACTATCCATTTACTAATAATCTCACCATATTTGTATTTACATCTTTCTCCACCACGATTGTCCGGACATCTGCAAGGTTTTGTAAATTCTCTCTCGCACAGCTGTCTCTGTCGATCAATTTGAATGAAAAGAAGACAATGAACAAAGAAGAAGAATTCTTAATGGATTAAAAGTTCATGAGTAAAACACCACTAGATTTAAAAAAAAAAACAAATCCGTTTCATTTTAAAGGTTAAATTTTTTTCAAAGAACTGTTGTCCCCACACTTTAGGAGTATTTGTTGATTGGATGTTATTATTTTCAACAAGTTGTACCTGTCTCGTTTATGTGTCCTATATTGTGTATGTAAACGACAAAATTTGTTTAATTAATAACATTTATGGCAATGATTATAGCTTCTCAAAACTACATTAAACGTCATGATCAAGGTCATAAGGTCAAATATAGTACAATTCGAAAATTTAGCAAAAAAAAACATACGAGGGGCATTTTAAAAGTTCTGGCAACTGATTAATAAAAGATGAACTGTTTTACAGAAATTTTTGAGTTTGACATCATTGAAAAGATCAGAAAAATATACACACATTGTTACGTCACTTTATAATTTTTATGACGTAATAACTCCGAATATGACGTCAGAATATAGAATATTTAGCATACTGACCATAAAAATGACGTAACAAAAGACACAATTTGATCAAATTAAAATTCTAAAGACAACTTTTGCTCATTACTCGAACGCAAGCTAACGGACGCAAATGCCAGTTGGTGGAATGTTTACTTAGACTACAATTTATCATAAGGTGTTTTATTTCAAAGATCTTTTTATTCTGAAATGGTTTTAGCGAATGTCAAACATAACATGTTTTTATCGAATTTCGCTCAAACTATTGCGTAAAAGAGACCTAACTGTGAGAAAAAGACAAAGTTGACAATCAAAGAAAAATAGATCGTTTTACAAAATTTGATGGCATAAATTCGTCAGGTGTTTTAACCAGATATGTGGGATCGATGAAGGCGCAAGAGAAGAGTTAAGTTAAGCGTGCCCCATATTTTCTCGTTAAATCCAAAATGGCGGAGGCGCAGTTGTAACCGCACCGTACCTCCACTTATTCGCAAATTTCCAATTATGGAAAATAAATAAGATTTTACATGTCTGTGTAACTTACATTCATTTTTTGGATTCAAAAGTCAAGAGCAGTAGTGAGTTTTGGGGCACTGAAGTTGAATTAATACGAAAAAAAATACGCACAGAAACAAGTCAGGGGCAAGACTTTTGTATATTTTATTCGTACTCAAAATATATTTGATGAAAACTGTATTAATAAACTTCAGTTTAGTAAAGGACATGTTTTATTTCAAACAATGGAGAGCTTAATAAAAGACGAAAAATCCAGCGTATCATGTAAATAAAAATCTTAAATGAAAATCTATTATAGCATAATTGGACTTAAACCGTGCTCATAAACAAACCATACAATGAATAATGGAATTTCTGATAAATAGTATCATGGTCCTACGCTACCTCTTTGCAAATCAAAATTTTCCTTGAAATTTTTTTTCAAATAAGCCTTTGGCAGTATGTTTACGTTCGTGTCATGTGGATAAAAAACGCGACTTTTCAGTATGCTAAACATTCTATATTCTGACGTCATTTTCGGAGTTATTACGTCATAAAAATTATAAAGTGATGTCACAATATGTGTATATTTATCTGATCTTTCCAATGATATCAAACTCAATAATTTTCGTAAAAGGGTTATTTTTTGTATTAAACAGTTGCCAGAACTTTTTAAATGCCCCTCGTACGTAAAAAAAAATAATACATGTATACAAAACAGAGTATAAGCATGTCGAACGTAAATGCCACATCTTCTTTCAATCTAAAGTTATCGGCAACGTTATTTTTTACGAAAATTTCTCAAATTTCAAGTTCAAGCTTATAGGGTATTTGGAAATGCGTGTCATGAATTACAGGTAATGCAAATATGAACGGCCTATCTTTGTTCCTTCAAATGTTCGCTTCGTGATCGGGAGGCCCGGGTTCGATTCTTGTTCGCTGTGCCGCGTCACACTTAAGATGTAAACATATGTGACTGATTCTTCGCCAAGCGCTCGGTACTAAAATTGAAAGTCTCGGGTCTTTGGATATGACCTTAAAACGTAGGTCCAGTGTGACGGTAGGCGTTGGCACGATAAAGAACCCTCACTGCTTAATGGCCCTGAGTGACGAGTATAGGTCTAAATTTCAGGCCCTTTGCAGGCATACGCTGAACGTTCCTGTATGAATGAAAAATTCTCTATTGGGACGTTAAACAATATACGAGGGGTGATCAAAAAGTTTGCCAACTAATTAAATGACTTCCAAAAAAAGAAATGATATAGCTCTAGATCTTCAGTTTTGAAAATCTTTCAAAGTAGTCCTCTGCAATTTTAATGCGCATCTGCAACCGTTCTGCCTATGCGAGGATCACGTGATATAGGCGGTCACATAACATGCTCTTCACCGTTCTGTCACAGAAGCTTAAAGATTTTTCCGACTCTTATATTTCTTAACATGCAAATCATTTTAACAACAAAAACAGTCCATTTATCAGAAATGGCCAACTCATGGAAATAGTATGGGTGGATAATGAAATCATTTCCCACAATGAACATGCATATGGTGACCATGAAAACCCAAGTCCTCTGTCTATTGAGTGTTGTTTTATCAATGTGAATAAAGTATGGGTGCCTTATTTTTATCATATCTGACATGATTAAAGTCTAAATTAGATGATATTTTAGGGTTGAAAAAGTATATTATTGTAAAGATACTGTACGTTGGTGATCTTTCATATCAAATTGCTAATCAAAGGACACGTCTCTTCCCTCAGCTTGCTTTCACTGGGTAACAGAACAAACATCATTTTTAAAAAATCATCTCCCTCCTTCACTAAAACAATCAATCTGTTTAATGAAAAAACTTCTGGCAAGTCTGTTGTCTTCATAAACCGTGTACAAATTATTATAAGCTTCTGTAATCGAATTTTCAAGATATACGTTTAAATTTACAGTTCGTTTGTTTCTCGAATACGACTGAGTCAACCGTTTTATGTCACAAGTGATCTACATATTGACGTCATTTTCACTTTGTCACAATGTTACAAATGGTCACAAACACGGAGCAAAACATTTCATTGCATATGTTATTTATAGAACTTTTGAATAACTCTATTTGTGCCAAATTTAATTTTGATCTGATTTGTGGCTTCGCCAACATTTTTATCGCCCCTCGTACAATCAATCAATCAATCAAAAGTTAGCAGCTGATATACCGTTTAAAAATAAGGTCAAACTTGCTAATGATGGTCAAAGGGTCAAATACATTGCACAGTCGGAAACATTTTGACACAGGTAATGCCTAAATATGAATGACCCAGCATGTGTCAAACAGAAGTAATAACATAAGAAAGTCAGATCATAATACAACTGGAAAGGTGTTGATTTTTTGGTAAATGTATATAACGATAAGATCACATAAGGTCTATCAAATAAGACTCATGGTGAAGAAGTCAAATATATTTATATTAACAAATAATGCAAAAAAAAAAATTCATAGAAAAAGAGTAAAAATACTAAGAAAATAAAACCAAGCGTTAAATAAAAGAGAAAGAACAAATTTTACTAAATTTTAAGTTATTTTTAAGTCCGAAATAGTTTGAAAGGTTACAAAACCCAACAAAGATTTAGTTTGCTTGATATCTATTTCACATGATATCTCCTAAACTTAAACACCTTTAATTTACTTCCGAAAATGGTTCAAATCTTTCAATATCATACGAGGGACGTTCAATAAATGATGTCATCGCTGACCGGAAAGAAACAAAAAACGCTTTTCTATGATGTATTCTTGATAATTTAATTTAAATATTCTCTTTTAATTAAAACACATGTCCGTAACATTTTTATTCAATTTTTAATTGTCTTTAGAACTCATTTTTGAGTATGACCCTTCGTATACTGGAATATGTCCGATCCTTTGATTTGGAGTACTTGTTTTCTCTCTCTGAAAAGTGTTTTTCCAAGTTTGGGAAAATGAAACAAGACAAAGGTTGAAAGATCTGGCAAATTTTGTTGGTATGACAAAACATTAACTTTCTGTTTATCCCCAAAACTCTTTTACTCTTCATGGTCTGTGGGTTTGGACGCTTTCATAAAGAAATTTAATGTAGCGAATTCCTCATTTTGTTTCTTTCCTCTCATAAATCTTTTATTTTTTTTTTGGCAAAAAAAGATGTTTTCTAGACTCCTCCAGAAATTCAACTTCGTAACCGAATATGAATTTGAACAACTAGACCGCTAATATTAAAGAAAATAGCATATAAACTGTTTTTGTGCTTTTGCAAATCTTTGCTCTACTTAGGCCTTTGCAGTTTCGCCAAGTGCATATTATTGTAAATTTGTTTGAGGGTTTAAAGCAAAATGGATTCAAGTTTCATTATCTGTTTGAATTTCAGACAAACGTGGATAAGAACAATTTTTGATTTTTTAAAAATAATTGTTCAGCTATTTCAACACGCTGTTGTCTTCATTCATTTTTTAAAATATAGGGTGACCTTTGAGTATTCAACCTTTTAACTATAAAATGTTTCTTTAAAACAGTCTGAACTAACCCCAAATTGATTTTCATCAATCTTGCTATTTGTGTTAACGTCAATAAAACATAATCAGTGATAATTTGTTGAATTTTTGCAAATAAACATTGTTTGTTGCAAGTCCTTGTTGCCAAGGACGGTACCCATTTTTGATGCCCCATTATATAATTTTTGTTTGTTGAAATCCACCTGTTCATGTGTATATAAAACAGACATTGGTTGCTGTAAATTTCACATAGTTCAATTAATATATTTTTGGGATATGAACAAGCTTTCAGCTGATTTAATGAAGCGTTTAATTTTACTCTTTTTTACCGATTCTTGACCATTCATTTTTAATGCAGTGTCTCGAATAGCCCATGTTTTTCAGCTTCCCACAATGAAACTATGTGATGAAAACTGGTCACATAAATTGTAATCAATGCATTTGAGATTCAATAATTAGAGAAAGTCAAGCTTAATGTCATATGATTTTTATGTTGTATGTCCCTCGTATAATGAGAACTAGATAATTTTTACAGTGGTACATTCAAAAAACAAAATTGTTTTTGCCATTTTTGTACACCAAACCTATCGTCCCTTCTTAATTTTAAATCAAGCTTCTATTTATATGTCAATTATTTTTGTAGTTAAAGAAAATTAATTCATTTAAACAAAAGACTTTAATGCAATATAGTTCTTAAAATTTACTAAGTAAGAAATCTGAAAAGAATCTACCTTAAGGACAAACGCAACGTACCTTACCTACTGATATTTTTTTCCAAGATATTCCAAAGGAAAGAATATAATGTCATCAGACGTTCGAAGAAAGAAAAACAGCATGCATTACTAGGGTTTTTTGAAATATATACCGGTAATATAATGAAAATTCTTAGATAATTCATAGAAAAATATATAAAAAATATTTAACATATATTCTACGTCTTTCTTTTATCAAAAAATTGTTTTAGAAGAAGTGTACAACACCATACATAGGCATTAAAATATTGTTCTTTCAAGAATTGTAACTCGTCAACTTCATGGAAAAAGACAAAAAAGTTTAAACTACGTTGGGTATGTCCTTTAAATAAAATATTTGAACTCACCAGTTTGTAGCGTCTGCATGGCCCACCATCTACCCATAAGACATTTGTTCTGTTCCTTTCGTACATGTAACAAGTCTCAGTAATACGGTTAGCACAGAAGTCGAATGAATAACAGTTGCTGTTCTGTATACATGACGAAAAGCAGTGACTGATTGTCACTTCTTTACTGACAGAATCAGCATCGACTGGAATGGGGACATGGCCAACGAATTCGAAATGAGACTCTAAGTATTCTCCATGACTGAATGTAAGAGCCAACAGTAAATTAATATTTGTCATTAACTGCATTTTCTAGGGGTGCTCAGACTTGTGTTGCAATTTCTAAAATGTCAAAGTTCCAGGACATTCTTTCTTTTTAGGTTTCGTGGTTAATTACAATTAAGCCTTGTTCCTAAGCGGCCTTGTGCCACAGCGCTCACCCGAATCTCAAATTTCGATCTTCTTTATCACTTCTTTTCTAGGAAAATATGCTGATCTTCTCTTAAATAAACTCTTTAACTTTAGTCTATTGTACGTAAGCCCAATAGTTCAAACCAAAAGTAAATAAATAAAAACGAAATTATCAAATAAATAAAAACGAAATTATTAAATAAAGAACAACGAAATTATTAAATAATGGAAAACGCAATTATTAAATAAAGCAAAACGAAATTATTTAAAATAAGGAAACGAAATTATTATAAAATAAAGAAAAACGAAATCATAAATAGATATTTAAACTGTAATAAAATTAACCAATCAGATAAGGCGAAACAGAAAAGCGACTCCAAAACCTCCTCCAAAGCTGCCAATGGAGAAAATTTTATGTATCCGATCAATAAATCGTTTGATTACGGCATATTCAACATTAACGGCGGGGTTTAGGTTAAATGCCTTAAATAAATAATAAGTGGACACTACTAGATGAAAAAAGTGCTGACAATCCCAAATTTTACAGATAATGTTTAGTAATTATACTGATACTGTGCTATTCTTGCTGATAAATACTGATATTTACTGTTATTATTACTGTTGTTGCTGATAATTTTAGTTGTTTCTGATAAACACTGATTATTACTGTTGCCTTTCACTGTTGAGTCTGATAAATACTGATAATTACTGTTGAGGTACTGTCGATGCTGAGATTTGCTGATAGTTACTGTGGTAATTGTTTTTTAACCTGGTTATTGGTTTAAAATTAAACAGAGGGCTATAAAAAAAATTCTTTACTTTCATTTACTTGAATTTTCATGACAAAATTGTCACATTTCTTTAAATGTTCTGCTTGTGACAAAATTATGTATGCTGGTCTCAATTACTACAATACGTTTGTGAAAATTTTGACAATAATCAAATGAATAATTAATAGAATAAATATATAGAAATAGAATTAATAAAAAAAATTACCTGCAGCAAAATAAATGGAATTTTACTTTTGCATGAGATCATATTAATAAATAAACTGTAAATAAAAAGAAAATTATGCTATCTTTAAAAATAGATCCATCGCCGCCTTTCCCGATTCCAAGAAATTTATGTAGGGAGATCACGGTGGATTCTTTTTTAATAAAAGGGGAAAAAAATCTTAATGGATGGGAAAAAAATCGGGATAAAAATAGTTTCCTGCAGGTTAGAAAAGTTGGATTCGTACCGTTTTCACTAGGTCAACTGGTCAAGTTCTGACAACATTCTCTTTTTGAGGGCTTTTAGAAGAACATCTCCCTGAGAGAGTGCTTGCAAAAGTATGATAAGTAACACTGTTATTACCTTGGAAATCATCCTCGAAGCGGGGAACCCCCCGTTTGTTTATAAATTTTGTTTCTTACCTTGTGTATTTTTATTATACCGGATTGGGCCGTTCTTTAAACGTGATAAAAAGTACAATCTGCTTGCATATAACGACATGTAGATGTGTTTGACGGGGAAATTATATATATATCTTTTTAGATATTTAACTCTCATACATTTTTGTTTATTTAAAAAAGGGGGTATTATCCATACTTCAGGTGCCTGTGTTCATAACTGTTTAATTTTGTTCACGGGAATTTTTTGCTGTGTCGCATCCTTAAACATTAAGCTTGTTAGTGTAGTAGTCTGCATGCACATCACTTCTTATTATGCTTTGATAAAATAACCAAGAAATCAGAAGTGTTTTCCTTTATTATTTGTGTACTATGTAAGCAATCATTAAAACCTACTCATTGTAACTACTTTTACTTGTTTCATTTTTGCACTTGCTCTCTTTAAACATTTTTTTAAGTCAAACAAACCCACAAATTCCGACTGGTAACATATTATTTTACAGCATTTTCTACTGTGCGAAAATTGAATAATGATATAAAGCCATGGGTATTCCCTACCTGTAAAAAAAAAATTAGCAGTAACTGTTGTTAACAATTTTTTCTTAATATACATGCATTTCTCAAATATTTGTGCAATAAATTAGGATATTCTCTTTGATGTTTCATGTCCAGATCCAATGTTCCATGATAATTAGACCTTCTGAGCCGACGGTTTAATAAAACTCATGTTAACGTAAACATGTCATCGAATTAATTGCCAAATTATCAGACTGGTCAAAGTTCAATTTAATCATATTAATAAAAGATAAAAACAAAGATCTAAGCATTTTAATAATAAGTTAACTTGAGATAAATTTTCCCCCTATTCATGCATTGTGATGGTTATGTTTTCGATATTGGAATAATTGAGTGTAAAGGCAAACATCACGCTTGTTTATTGTCGAAACGAAATCAGATCTAACAGACGCGTTCGCCAATGATTTATAGTTCAGGCCCTTACCATGCACGTATTTTAGGTTCATTTTTTTTTTAATTTAATAATTTCGTTTTTGTTTATCTACTTATTTCGTTTTTCTTTATTTAGTAATTTTGTTTGCATTATTGGGCTCCCGTACTATTGTACATGAAATCAAAACAGTAAAGATAATAGACATCAGTAATGACTATCAAATAATGTACGTGTTTTTTTATCCTTGAGTAAGTGCTATCCTTTATAAAATGAATTGCAATTCTATTTGATCTATGCCAAGTTTGGAATAGAACTATTGGTCTTGGAAAATGATGTGAGGGGGATTTGTGTTCAGGCGGGCTAAATTCTTACTTAAGATTTTTTTTTTAAGAAAAAGGGATAACAATGAGTAACGATAACAATACATTAAGTTCTTTACTATATAAACTTCCTATGAGAAAGCATATGAATAGTAGAGCCTCAGCAGCAATATTCCATTTTTGTTGTTCAAACAAAATGATTTTAGCACTGTGAATGGACAGTCTTTGAATCATTATTTGATGTACACTTTCTATAAGCCCTACAAGATTTTGCTCTATCATGGATCAAACAAAATCGAAACATCAAACAAAATTTTCATTAAATTGTGTTATAAATATCGACAATATAAGTGAAACGTGAGGATTTTCACGATACTGATATTTTCCCGAAGAAACAATCACTAGAAAATAGGGTAAAAGAGTTTACCACAGGAAGGGCGAATATAGGAAAACACCATGCGTTCTTTATCTTCGCCCGTTCAAACTTTAAAATATAAATAATTCGTAAAAATCATTTGTTTACTGTGTCTGAGTTCAAGATCGATTAGCTGAAAAATCATTTTTAAACGCAAAATATGAAATTTGTAAGACGGGTATCCCTCTCAAAAACGTTTTATTTTTTATTTTGGCCAAAAATATATTATAATGCTATAAAACGAAATACTCGATTCCAGAGAAGAATTTATCAGAATATGTAATATGATAAGTTGAGCTAAAATTTAACGAAAACAATTTTCTTTCAAATCAAGTCATATTGTTCTGGTCTTATTTTGAAGTAAATTATTATCTTAGACTAGCTACTATTTCTGATACTTTGTTTTTAACATAGGTAATCAGAGATTACAGAGCTCACCTCAACGAATGTTGTCTTTAAGTAAGGCAAAGTCAAACAATTACCCAACAAAAAGTGTACATCCAAAATGCAAAATTTATGCAATTTTAATTTGATACATGGAATAGACCTATATAAAAACTTCAATCTAGTTCTTCATTACAAAAATGTGATTAAAATCCAGCATCTGAAGCAAGTTTGAGAGTTTTCATCCCTTAATGCATCATTTGGGCAAGTTTGGTTTATATAAGCCTTATAGTTTCTTGGTAGTAACCTGCACCCATAACTTTTACCTGGTCCATTATCTGGAAAATGCATGTCGAATTCAGCATCAAGTCCATTAGTGTGCATCCTAAGATGTATCATCCATGCAAGTTTGCACATAATAGGACTAATAGTTACTTAGAAATGATACCTGCATAAAAACTTAACCTCTTCACTCATCCAGAAAAAAAATGTAGGTCAGATTCAGCATCCGACGCCAGGCTGGTAGAATGAATCCTAAGATCATGTATTATCCATGCAACTTTGGTCATTAAAGAGCTCATAGTTACTTGGAAATGAATCCTGCATCAAAAACTTTAACCTATTCACTCATCCAGAAAATGTAGGTCAGATTTAGCATCCGATCCGAAGCAAGTCTGGTAGTGTGCATTCTGAGATTTATCATCCATGCAAGTTTGGTCATTAAAAAGCTCATAGTTACTTGAAAATGAGATCTGCACCTAAAAAAATTAAAACCTGTTCATTCAACCGGAAAATGATGGTCAGATTCAGCATCCCAAGCAAGTCTGGTAGTGTACATCCTTAGATTATCATCCATGCAAGTTTAGTCAACATACATATAGGGCTTATAGATACTTGAAAATGAGACCTGCACCAAAAACATTAACCTGTTTACTCAACCGGAAAATGTAGGTCAGATTCAGCATCCGAAGCAAGCCTGGTAGTGTGCATCCTTAGATGTATCATCCATGCAAGTTTGGTCAACATAGGGCTTATAGTTCCTTGGAAATGATACCAGTACACCAAAAACTGCACTACTGGTACAATTAAACACACTAGAAGCATCGTCCATGCATGTCTAATCAATGTATGACATAGAAGTATTTAAAAAGAAAACTGCTCCAAAAAATTTAACCTTAACCTGGGACGCCACTTACTTAAACCCCCACAAAACAATAATGGCATTTGATTAAAAAAAACCTTCTCCTACGGCAACTGCAATTGAACTTTTGGAATAAATATATCAAACTTAAGCATTGATAAAATAAAAACCTGTATGTGTAGAATTTTTTTGAAATATATTGATAATAAAAAAAAAAAAACAACTGTACGTTTCTTGTTTTTTTATATACCCGTAAATAAAATAAAAGTAATTAATGTTTAAGACAGAACAAATACTACTAATTGAAATTTTAAAGTTATGAAACAACTCCGTTAGACATTCACATTCATTTTAAGATCAGTCAAATTACATTCGAGTTATTCAAATATTTTTAAAACAACAAGAAAGTTATCATTAGAAAATGATGATACCAAAGCAAATTAAGACTAAAATCATGATTGTATTTTTAATTCAATCACAGAGTAGTTAAATAACGGCATGTCAAACCTTGCAATATTCGGTTTTCTCCTTTTGTTCATGTATTGCATAATTTCTATTTGTATTTTCTAAGTTTTCCATTCGTGTATTATAATTTCCCATTTGTTTTCTTTAATTTTTAATCTCAATTTATTAAATCAAGTAAAATAAAATATTTGATTTGTATAATTTTTCATTTGCACTCCATATTTTTTCATTGGCATTGTATATTTTCTTATCTATATTCTATAACTTCTTATTTGTATTTGATTATTTTTTTATTTCTATTTTATGCGAGGGAGTGTTTATTCTTTTCGTTATGAAGGATTTCATTGGTCGAGCTTAGGTATTGATGTTTTTTTGTAGCATAGTGTCAAAATTAGCAATATATATTCCATGTAAACTGGGCTCCTATATATTTTTGCGTGGAGGATATGGTACTTACTGGAGGTGGGGTAGGTTGGCATATCTAGTGGAACAGTATTCAAGATCAAAAGTCCATAAAACAAAATGAATAGAAAATAGGAGCAGAACAAACAAAGACCTCCAAAAAATTAGAGGTTGGATCAGGTGTCAAGAAGGAGTGAACATCCTTCTTGCCGACCGGTCACAACAGCCATGTGCTCCTTGTTATGATCGGGAAATAACGGAAAATTCAGTGTTTGAATAATGGAGTTACAATTAGTATGAAAAACATCAGTCAGCATTTGACTCAATAATAAGTTGTATTTGCTGACAAGATGATTGCATCGACCATAGAACTTACGAAATGATGACTTTTACTTACATAAACATGATTCAAGTTATTTTCAAATTTTTGACAAAAGTTTGTAAGAATCATCTGTCCCTAAGTTCTATTAATGGTCGATTCCGTAACCTTGTCAGCAAATATACAATCTATCATTGAGTAAAATTCTAACTGACATTCATCATATTAATTGTTAGACCATAATTTCATGATCATGACAATGATAACACGGCGGGTGTGAGCGGTCAGCAGGGCACTTCTTCGTGGCACCTGGTTATACCTCTTATGATTCAGAGGGTTTTGCTCTGCTCCTAATTTGCATTGCTTAACGTACTTTTGGGCTTTAAGGACAAATGATCCAAACAAATTTTTTTCTTTGTAAAAGATTTAATATCATGTCACAAGTTTAGAAACGTGGATGGTTCTAAGAATTTTTTCTCCTAAGAATTGGAATATGAAAATACATATAAAATGACTCTGTGTTCAGCATTAATACAATGCCATATTGATTACGCCTGCAGTGCTTGGTATGCAGGGCTATCCAAAACTTTAAAGAAAAGGTTACAAATTTGTCAAAACAAGATGGTTCGTTTTATTTTGAATTTAGGTCCACAGGCATCTGTTTATTACGAAATACTTAGTCTATTAAATTTATTAAATATTCAAGATAGAGTTTCTCAGCTTAGACTCAACCATATTTTTAATATTTTTCAAGGAAAAGCCCCTTCTTATCTTAATGAACATTTTATACTTCGGTCAAATTTTAGTAGCTATCATACTAGATCAGTCTCAAATGCAGATTTTGTCGTTCCAATAACTAAGCAAAAACAATCTGAATCATTTTATTTTAATGGAATCAAAGACTGGAACATGTTACCAGCAGAAATTAAACCTGTTTTAAATACTGGAAATAATTTTGCTTTTAAAAGAAATGTCAAGAAATTTTTATTAGAAAGGGGAATTGCCCCGTGTAAAAGTCAAGTTGTGTTTTATTAGTTTTTATTATTAGTATAAGTTGTTCCAATTACAATCATGTGAATATTTGGTATACATTCATAATACACTTCATTTTTAAGGATCTCTGTGTTGTCAACTTCATCCCATATCTTTGCTATAGTATTTTAATTTGATATTTATCTGCTTATATTATTTAACATCCAATTAATATACATGTTTGAGTATAAGGACCCCATTGGAAATAAGCCATTGGCTTTCATGGGTTATCCTTGGTATACAAATATAATCTTATGTGAATCATTTATATAAATTCATGTCTTTCAAAAATGATTGATTCCGATATTTTATATTAATTATATTGTTTAATGCCATATATATATATATATATATATATATATATATATATATATATATATATATATATATATATATATATATATATATATATATATATATATATATATATATATATATCTTAAATTATATTGTGAATATTGCAACATATGTGTAGTATACCAAATAAATATCTATCTATCTAAAAAGACTTGAAAATGTTTCGTTTCGGCAGATTTCGTTTCGTTTCAGTTCGTTTCGTTTCTATATCGTTTCGCACTTTACAGGTACCCAGAAAATGGCCATTCTAAGATTAGTTAATTGCATGAGGTAAAGTATTTCAACTTGTCAGAGAGTACATGATTCAAAATTCAAACGCACATAGTTTTTTTTATAAGCCAGCATTCCACATTAAAATAAATGTATGCATTCAGATGGTTACCATGGCATTCAGAAACAGAATTATGTACTGCAACCTGTTAAAACAGTGGCGAGGTCTTATCTCTGTTTTTGAATTCACCTTCTCACTACAGACTAAAAGATTGTTTTTAATGGTGCATCCCGCCCCTTATCCTATATGACAGAACTTGCAGAAATATTAAACTTAAACAGTTAATAACTACAACGAAGATCTAACCCCCAGACGATAAACTGCGAATAGATTAAATTCAAACTTTCAATTTTTGAGTTTTATGCAGCATATTTGCTAAAAACTTGTACTTGTGTTGAATATTTAAATTTAAATATACATTTTTTTTTCAATTATACACGATAAAGAAAGAAACAAACATTGTTTTTCTTAATATTTATTGTAAATGTACTTGAGTGTTTACCATAAAGACTACATGTTTGGTAATACATGATAGTGATATGCATGAAGATATATACAAAAAACGGGAAATTATTGATTCGACTTTGGAAAATAACTATCTCGAACCCCCGGATATCTCGAAGTCGAGTCCATGTCCCCTCAACTTCGAGATACTGATATTTCACTGTATGATAAAAAGTGTGTTTCATGAATAGTGTTTATTTGGTTTAATATTTTTCCAGAAACATTTATTCACAATACAATAATTGGAGTTATATTATTTTTTATAATACATGTATATCATCCAAGGTGTATCACTCAATTTACTTTTTAATTTCATATACTCTATTGACAGTGTTTTTATTTTTCTTGCACGGAAATCCAATTTCCATGGCAACAATGCAGAAATTAATGACTGCAATGTAGGAATGCATATTTTAAATAATGTGATTATTTACGCAGTTTATATCAATAATAAATTCATTGAAAATAAAAACACCACATGCTAGCTAAAATGATAGACGACATTCACATTTTTAAGTGATACATAAATATGTCTTTGTCGGCATCACGATTATTTTTTTCGGGGAACAGCATATAGGGTAAATAAATTAATTTCGAGAAGGAACGGGTGCCATTCGCCTTGATTTATCCAGACATCGAATCTTACAATTTTTTTTGTATCTGTGAGTTCACAATTTTCCATGAGTTAGAAATTTTGGTTGAGTTTTGAGCTACACAATTAAAGAAATCATATTGAATTTGAACAATTTTAAATTGAAAACACTCCATTATCCTTTTTAAAAAACAAGATGTGTTTGTGAAACACAATGCGCCCGGCGGCAACAAAAATCTAAAAAGCTATTTTAAGCATACTGTATTGCAAAGGTCAAAGTCAAGGTCACCAGGTCATTGACCTTGAAGTCACTGGAAAGAACTTGATTAGTGGAGTATGCACACCAAATATGAATTCTCTATCTTTTATGGTTCAAAAGTTATAGTGAAAGTTACAAAAAAAGCTATTTTTAGCATATAGGTCACAGTCAAGGTCACCAGGTCATTGACCTTGGTGTCATTTGAAAGAACTTTATTTGTGTAGAATGCATACTAAATATGAAGTCTCTATCTTTTATGGTTCAAAAGTTATGGCGAAGGTTAAAGTTTGCAGACAGAAAAGCTATTTTTAGCATATAGGTCACATTCAAGGTCACAAGGTCATTAATATTAGTGTCAATTGAAAGCAACTCATTAGTGAAGTATGCATACCAAATATGAAGTTTCTACCTTTCATGGTTCGAAAGTTATGGCGAAGGTTAAAGTTTGGGGACAAACTACAAACAAACAGACAGACAGACAGACAGACAGACAGTCAGGACAAAAACAATATACGCCTCGGATCTATCGATCCGGGCGCATAAAAATCGGTTGATTTTCATATATTAAACTTTTACCAAAATTAATAATAGATATGATTAAAGAAGAAAAATTACGAATAGGAGAAATCTGACTCTGAGAAAGAAAAACGGGGAAAATTTGGCAATAGTGATGGATTTCCCTTCAAGGGGGAGGGGGGGGGGGTATCCTAATCTGCAGTAAAAATGCCAGGGAAACCTGACTTTCGGGAATATCCTACTGTACAACAGGTATTTATTCTACCTGTATTATACAATGATCTTTAATAAAAGTTAAATTTTTTCGAAATGCATATAAACAAAATAAGTAAATGAAGATACATATTTCTTAAATATTTCAGTTAAAATTTAGCATTTTGGTTTTATAATTATGAGTATTTCAAAACAACAAATTGATTTTAAATTAATAATTTAAAACAGTTGTGATACCAAAACAACTACCGGAAAAAAATATACGTGTCAAAATCCAAACCAGCCACCCACATAAGAAACAAACGAACCAACTACATTTGTAGCAAACCTTCCTGTAGCAATGAGAACAGACCCTACAGTCGAGACAATCTGTGAAAGCAGTCCTTTCTCTTGTTGGTTGGTATTTATAATTTCGACTCTAGAGTTGGATCTTGCTGCATTCAATAAAAGCATGACTTCTTCTTGTGTGTACGTTTTTTCTTTGCTCTTTAAGTTTTCAAGGTTTTTCCTTTCATTTTCTCGGATGATACTTTCAACTCTTTTAAATATATCGTCACTGTAGTATGAGTGACCGTTGCTTTCACCCATTTTCTCGATCATGTACAGTATATGGCGTACTTCCTTCTCTCGCTCTTCATGTCGACCCTTATATCCAATGGCGGTATATCTCTCGTGTATTTCATCTATTAAAACTTTCAGATTTGAACTGTTATCCATCGTACGGACAAAGTCGTCAATAGTCATGTTTTCATCTTCTAATCTGCCTTTATGGGTGAACACGACAATGAGGAATTTTTTCAAATCGTCTCCAAAAGCTTTCATGAAAAAATCGACAGTCTTCTGTTCTTCTTCAGTAAATCTCCCGACTTGAACAACTAAGATTATAGCGTGAATACCAGGAGATGCTAGGGAATACCATTTTGAAATTTCTATTAGAACTTCTTCTTTTGTTCGATTTGTATCAAAAAGTCCTGGCGTATCTATAACGACTAACTTTTTATCGAATCTCTCTGATTCATTGTATTGTGTTTTAACTGTAACAGAGGTTGCAGATACTTTTGTACTAAATGCAGGAAATCCTAGTATGGTGTTGCCAGTGGTACTTTTTCCAACGCCAGTCTTACCGATTAGTAACATCCGCACCTCGCTATCTATTTCTGTAACAGGAATGTAAGATTTTAATAAGTAAAGTCTCAATATCGGTATATTTATATTTCAGAAAAACAAAATAGCTTTATAGAATTCTGTCTGTAGTTTTGACTTCAAACCATTGAAAGATTAAACAAATTAATTAAAATTTGTATATACTCAAAATCAGTAAATATGAAAAACTCAGTTTATTCATAGTTAAGGAATTCAAAGTTCTAGTAGTTTATATTATGTCTGTGATTTTGACCTAATATCAATGAAAACTTGCAAATGATATTTTGAATGAACTATAAAGTTAATAAATTGATAAATTGATTGATTTACACTGCACAACATAAAGTTTACTATATATTAAATAAGTGTTATCAGTACAGACTCCGACATATCCTACTACCACTTTTTTGAGTGGAACTTGTTCCTTTGTGTTCGCACTAACCGTGTAACGCTTCGTAATAGTTGTAAACTGTAGCTAACAGTTCAACGAACGTGTACCGGTAGAGTAGCGTGTGTTTCGAGTTAATACTAAATGCACCTTTTAGTATCTATACTGAAATGCAGAAGTTTACTTTATATTAGCAAGTATTTGCATAAACTTGTGATCAAACAATCAAAATTCGTCTTCGATTCAGCATAGGATTTTGTTAACAAAATTTTAAAGATAAAAATTGCAATTAAAATACACAACTCCTGTCTACATGTCCAGAAATAACTAAGTTAGTTCATTAATATTCAATCAGAAAACCCAGTTTCCTCTGAACTAGTAAGAATTAAATTGTACACTCTTTGCTCAATCCGTTAAGTCGACAATCAATTTCATATTTTTTCCACATTGTACTTTTATGCTTATCTTCAACATGTTCAATATACAACGCAATACAATTTATACAAAAAACAATGAATACGTTACAAATAATATCATAAACATCAAGATTATGTGAATTCTTTAACAGTTTTAGAATCCCTTTTTCCATAGCAGGTATGAAAATCATTTTCGCCGATCTGTTCAATCATTTTCAAAATACTTTTGACTTCCTTATCACGGTCCGTCATATTTCCATTGAAACCAATAGCAATAAATCTTCTATCTATGTCATTGATGAGCTTTTTGATGTTGGAGTTGTCATCCATAGTATCAATGTATTCTTCTATGGTCATATTTTCTTCATCCAATTTATCTTTACCAGTGAATACCACAATCATACATCGCTCAACTTGTTGACCAAAGTAGTCCAAAAGAAGCTGAACACTCCTTTGTTCTTCATCAGTGTATCTCCCAATTTTTACAACTAATAATAAAACATGAATGGCTGGAGAACCATAGTCTATCATATCTGTGAATTTTTCGATTTCAGCAAATGTGTCATTAATTGTAGTGCCTGTATCAAAGAGTCCCGGTGTATCAATAACAACCAAGCATTTATCATATCTCTCTGAGACATCATATTGTGCCTCTACTGTTTTCGACAATGCAGCTGTTGATGTAAAAAACGTATCGGTGCCAAGAATTTTGTTTCCGGTAGTACTCTTTCCTACACCAGTTTTCCCGACAAGTAAAATTCGAATTTCTTTATCACTTTCTAAATTAAAAAAAAAGATTCTTCTTGTTGATATATATCGCCATTATTGTTCAATTAAAAGAAAGGCTTTTCGAAGTTAATGTCAGAAACGTTAAAGGTACTTGGACACAGATTTGAAGTTATTATTTTCTCTATGATATTACGACTTATATATTTTAAAAGCATTTCACACAAAAATTAATTAAAAATCTTATTTCGTTTAAAAGATATTGAAATTTTAAATTTTTCGGCGGGTTTGATTGACATATCCTTGCACTCTCACAAATTTAATTTTATTCTTAATCCTTAGGAAAAGTGGCAATCTCGTTTTGTATAAATGAAAAATATTAATACTATAATCCAGAAAATTCAGAGTAGACACGTTCGAAGGCAAAACAAACACTCAATATATTGTCAGTCCGTGCAGTTGTGGTAGGCAGACTGTGACGATTGAACGCACCCGGTGAATTCTAAATATAAACAATAACAGAACTCGAGCCCTGTTTACAATAACTGTGTACATAACAAGAGTGTGCTGGATTTGCTAAGCTCTGTAAGCATCTTGTAGTTCGGAATGACGATACTTGTGAAGGTGTTTTGCTTTCTAACATTTCTACTCTGAATAAAATTATTTTTCTTGATAAAAGTTTTAATATTTCTCATTAAAACACATCAAAATTGCCACTTTTCCTAAGGATTAAGAATAAAGTTAAAATTTGTGAAAGTGCAAGGATATGTCAATCAAAGTTTTGATAACTTTAAAATGAAATAAGATTTTTTATTAATTTTTGTGTGAAATACTATTAAAATATATAATTCGTGATATTATACAGAAAAAATGAGAAAATATTAACTTCAAATCTGTGTCCAAGTACCTTTAAATAACAGTTTCATTTACTTCTGTATTTGTATTGTATGAAGCAAAATAATAGTGCATAGAATAATTGAAATAACATGTAAAGGAATTTTATGTTGTTCGCCTTAATAAAGGATTGAAATGCTTTTTGCTCGATGGAAATACAGAATATATTCGTAAAGAAGCCTCGTCTTTCGCAAAACATTTTTTAACCTGATAGTTAAAGGTCCAACGGTAGGGATATAGTTGGAAGTCAGATCAGAGTCAATTAACTATTCATCGTTGAGGTGTTAAGTATGGTGGCATATTTCTGTCCCCTACATGCAAGATTAATTATATTAACATGCAAGAAAATCATGTAAACATGAAAGAAAATTATGTATACATGCAAGATAATTATGTTGACATGCAAGTTACAAATCTTTTAAGGAAATCTGATTTTAAAATGGGTAACATCCCGTACCGACGCTCGTATCTGACATTGTAATTGCAAGATGCAACATAATTATGACAAGATGCTTGTTACTTATGTTGACATGCGAGATAATTATGTACACATTCAAGATATTTATGTCAACATGCAAGATACATTTGTTAACACACGAGATAATCATGTAGACATGCAAGATAACTTATAATAATGTAGAAATGCAAGATATTTATGTTCACATTCAAGATAGGTATGTTAACATGCTACTTATTTACGTCAACATGCGACTTATTTATGTGAATATGTGAGTTATATTTTTACATACTAGTAAAAGATATTTATGTCAACATGCAAGGTAATAAGTTGTATATCAACATACATATCTTGCATGTTAACATAATTTTCTTGCATTTTGACATAAAGAAAGTTGCATGTCTACATAATTATCTTGTTTGTTGACATAAATAAGTTGAATGTTGACATAGATAAGTCGCATGTTTACATAATTATGTTGCATGTTTGCATAAATAAGTTGCATGTTTATATAATTATGTTCATCTTGCAAACCAAATGTACAATGTCAGATACGAGCGTTAGAAAGTAAATTTATGAATAACCATATTTAAATTGTATTTGATAACTTGCATGTCAACAGAATTATCTTGCATCTTGACAGAAATATGTTGCATGTCTACAAAATTATGTAGCATGTTAACATAATTTATCTTTCATGTAGGGGGGCAGAAATACACCACCATTAAGTAAAGTATTAATTTTCATTGCGTAATTTTACTTCACAGGGAGTCTACATTTGATGTCAAAGACAATGATGGATATTAAGAAAGAATAGGAATTGTTGTGTGCAATCCTCTCGTATGATGAGGAACAAGGGGTCAATGGTCCACATCACTCACCTGAGCACTTTAGCTAGAAAGAAATGAAAATCGATTCAGTTTTGCTGAGTGATCCTCTTAAACCTAGCAAGGCAATGAGATTATGCATGCTTTGAAGGAACAAACCTGAATGACAACTAGCCGAAGATCCGTCCGTATACATATTTGACTAGTTACATGAACATGTATGGCTTTAAATGATTATTACTGTTTTCATTTGAATTCCGTTGTAAAAGTTTGTTCTGTATTGTGGACCCGCCCTATCCCAATTGGGTCGTCAAATTAACAAGCTTGAATCTACATTAACACATAATGCTTCGATATGAATATAACTAATATAATAATTATATATATATATATATATATATATATAGAGAAAGCACAGAGAAATTCACTTTTTTACAAGGATACTCACTTCCGCCCCAGCCCGGGGTTGAACTCTCGACCTACGGAATCTGTCTCCTAGCAGTGCAGGAACAGCGCGTTAGACCGCTCGGCTATCTAGGCAAGTTAAAAAACTTGCTTTCGATGCCGATATATATATATATATATATATATATATATATATATATATATATATATATATATATATATATATATATATATATATATATAGAGGCCCATGGGCCTTATAGGTCACCTGAGCATTATGCAACAACTTTCCAGTTATTGAATTTGATTCATGTTTTAAGCCAGATGCTATGGCATTCACAATTTTAAAGACGCACCGTTGATATTCATAACAATACACTTAGCAGTTGCTTAGCTTGGTTACTTAATACCCATAGGCAGGGTAGGGGAACAAAAAATTGCATTTCAACTTATCAGTAATATTTAGCAATAAAAATAGTGCCCTTACCAAACATGAACTCCTGATCCTAAGGCCAAGATCCACTCACTGCACAATTTTTGAAATGGCATCCTTGCTTTTCAAAAATATTTGATAAATACCAAGGAGCAAATTTCAAACAATTCATTCATTTTCAGTACATAAATACAGCCCCCCCTACCTCTATGGTACCCCTGACCCTTAAGCCTTGAAATTCACAATTCTTGAAGATTAGGGCCCTTACTCATCATAACCATAGAGGTAAATTCATCTGCTTTATACCCAGAGACAGAGACAATTTTTTTAAAAAATATTTAATGTAATTTTTCACTGCATAATCATTATAGAGCCCCACCCTAAGACCAGAACCCCTGACCCTGGAGGCATAAAATTCACAATTTTGGAGGAGGCATTCTTGCTTATCATAACTATGTACTTAGTTAG